TGAAAGGCAGCCAGGAAGTCTTGCTTGATCGTATGCCCGCAAGCTGTGAAGAAAACACCGTTGAAACCGTCAGGGCCTGGGGCTTTTTCCTAGGGCATGGCTTTTATTGCATTCCAAATCTCGTCCTCAGTGAAAGGGTTATCCAACCCACCTCCATGGATTGATGGTAGCTGCAGCTCTTGCCAGTTAATCATCCTTGTATGCTGTTCTTTCGAACCCAACACGCCATCAAAATGAGTGAAGATACAATCTTCCTAGTCATTGTGAGAAGTAGCCAACCCATCCTTAGTTTTCAAAGCTGGAATGAAATTTTTTCGGCGCCTAGTTGATTTTTGCGTTGAAATTTTTTGTGTTTGCATCTCCAGCACGCAGCCAAATAATTCTGGATGCCTGCCTCTTCCTCGCCCTTTCAATTGCAGCCAGCCCAAGAATTCTTGTTTTCAGCTTCTTTCTAAAAGTGAATTCTAGTGGAGTCAAGACTCTTGTCTCTTGGGCGACGTCCGGGCGGAGGATGATCTCCGATGCAATGTGGAATTGCATTTTTTTGCATCGCTGAAGAGAGTTTTGCTCCATATTTTCAGATCCTTTACAGTTCTTTGGAGCTTCAGTTTCAGTCTAACGAAGGCACACGAGTGGTTGACAGGTCTGTTCCAAGCTCTGTCCACCGTTTCCTAGAATGAGGAAATTTTGGCCAGAAAGATTCAATTTATTTTATTTGAAGAAGAAAGGTTCACACATGGATCACGAATCAATATATGGATGGTTGGATAAGAGGGTGCAATGCACCCAGGTTTAGCCACACCTTTCTCAGCCGTAATAATAATCTAAGACCTCGATATTCCAATGTTTAGGCAATGAGTATACGTAAAGTTCTTCCAACCATTCGTCCTTGTCCAACCTACTCTGCCTACATACCTCCTCCATCTCTCCTGTTTTGATTTTTTCCCTTCCATCTCAGGTTTTCCTATAAGTTTTTCTTGAAAATTGACTTATCCGCCCCACCTAATAAACGTTTACCAAAAAATTCACAATCGCATTAATATGGGCATGTAAATCACGGGCTACCATGCTAAAATATGTATACCCCCACTGCAAGGGCTCTTTTTCAAATATGTCTATGCTTCTATTTATCAAAAAACACTATTTGTTGATATCAAACCATGATTCTTGTCAGAATTGTGGTTCTAAAAATCCACGGTATTCTTCTAAACTCCAAAAAAGGAGCCGCCAAATGTAGGCTAAATTATAATGTTACCACTTCTAATTAGTAGTTTGAAGCATTCTTATACGCGTCAATTTTCGTAGTTCAGATGGTGGAGCCATCACATCAAGGTTCAATTCCTTGACAAATACTGGTGTGTACATTGTTCTGAATTTATTTCAGGTTTCCGACAATGTTCATTCAATGGAAGACTATGTTCTCCTCGACTACTTCACCAACAATTTAAATCTGTAATGTAAAATCTAACAAATCTAGTAAACTTTGATTTTCAGATTTACGACCAATGTGACATGCAACTGTAATTAAGTTCCCATGGAAAAAAATATACTTTTTTGTGTTTTGAGAATTGAAAATTATACTCCCGCCGTCCTGAAATATAAGAGCGTTTTCGGGCACACATACAAATTTTCTAATGCTACAACCCTCTTGCCCGAATCTCCTTCCCCTCTCACTCTCTCTCACCTAGTTTTCACCGCCGCGTCGGCCGCACAGCCGCTCGCCTCCACCGCTCGGCACATCCGTTGCCTCTCCCTCAACCGCATCTTGTTTCCCCTCCCACATCATTTGGCTGCCTCGCCCTCAACCACATCTCACCCAAGATTTGATTTTTACTACCGGAGGAGCTGCGAGACAAGGAGCTGTTGTAGGAGGGTCTGCCGAGGGAGGAGGAAGTGTTGTGTCGCAGAGCAGTCGAAGCGCCAGAGGGAGCACGAGGAACAACACTGAAGCACCTTCCCGACGACAACAACACCAGGGCGCCTTCCCGACCCAGGCGCTGGAGGGGCGAGGTGCAGACACTCTGTGGGCGCTTGCGCTGGGGGATTTCGAATTTGAATTTTCCCGCCGCTTGGGGGAAGACGATCGGTATGTCATCTTGAGATTTACGAAGTCGCCGTAGAGAGCTCCTATGCGCCGCATTCTGCGTCAAATTGTTGAGCGTTCGCGGGCTTAGTGGGCCGATTTTGCTAGCTTCAAGCAGATACCACTGGAATAAAAATGTTGCGCTGCCGGTGAAGCACCTTCCCGACGACAACAACACCAGGGCGCCTTCCCGACCCAGGCGCTGGAGCGGCGAGGTGCAGACACTCTGTGGGCGCTTGCGCTGGGGGATTTCGAATTTGAATTTTCCCGCCGCTTGGGGGAAGACGATCGGTATGTCATCTTGAGATTTACGAAGTCACCGTAGAAAGCTCCTATGCGCCGCATTCTGCGTCAAATTGCTGAGCGTTCGCGGGCTTAGTGGGCCGATTTCGCTAGCTTCAAGCAGATACCGCTGGAATAAAAATGTTGCGCTGCCGTGGTTCGAACCCAAGACCTCCTGCGTGAGCGCATATGACTCCAGCCAGTTGACCTAGTGACCTTCAATATTTACAGTACAGCACAACACCTTAAGAAACTCAAACACCGATCCGACTTTTTCAAAAATTCAAATGCAAAAACTTTTTTTCAGAAATAAAACGTCAATGTTTTACCATGCTGGAACATTTTTCAATTTTTTTGAAAACTCAAACATATTTAAACACGCAAATGAATTTTGGAGAAGAGAACAATTTTTACAAAGGGGACATTTTTTAAAATACCACAAAAAATGAACAGGAACAATTTTTCAAAAACAGGAACATTTTTTAAATTCTAAAACAAAATTTGGAAACACAAACAACTTTTGCACGCAAACAAATTTTGAATTTCCCAACCATTTTTTGAAAACATGAAGGTTTGGAATTTGTGAACAATTGTTTAAATCACGAACATTTTTTGAATCTTGAGAACAAACTTCAAAGTGCGAACAATTTTTTAAAGCACAAACTTTTTTTCATTTTAAGAACAATTTTTGAAACTGAGAACAAATTTTGAAACTGAGAACAAATTTAAAAAATAGTGAACAAATTTGGAAGCGTATTTTTTTGAATACGTGAAAAAATTGAAATCCGGTACATTTTCTGAATTTCGAGAGTTTTGTACTATTTTGTGTAATGAGAACAATTTTTGAATTTTGAGAACATTTTTTCGAAAACTGAACGTTTTTTTAAAACATGAATGTTTTTGAATTTGTGAACAATTTCTTAAAGTACAAACATGTTTTGAATCTTGAGAACAAATTTCGAAACAGAGAACAAATTCAGGAAATAAAACTTTCCAAAAAGTTCAAAAAATGTTCAGTTTTTTTGAAAATGGTCAGAAATAAAACGTGAATGTTTTACCATGCTGGAACATTTTTCAATTTTTTTGAAAACTCAAACGTATTTAAACACGCAAATAAATTTTGGAGAAGAGAACAATGTTTACAAAGGGAACATTTTTTAAAATATCCCAAAAAATGAACAGGAACAATTTTTCAAAAACAGGAACATTTTTGTAATTCCAAAACAAAATTTGGAAACACAAACAACTTTTGCACGCAAACAAATTTTGAATTTCCCAAACATTTTTTGAAAACATGAAGGTTTGGAATTTGTGAACAATTGATTAAAGCACGAACATTTTTTGAATCTTGAGAACAAATTTCAAAGCGCGAACAATTTTTTAAAGCACAAACATTTTTTTGATTTTAAGAACAAATTTAAAAAATAGTGAACAAATTTGGAAGCGTATTTTTTTTTGAATACGTGAAAAAATTGAAATCCGGTACATTTTCTGAATTTCGAGAGTTTTGTACTATTTTGTGTAATGAGAACAATTTTTGAATTTTGAGAACATTTTTTCGAAAACTGGACATTTTTTTAAAACATGAATGTTTTGGAATTTGTGAACAATTTCTTAAAGTACAAACATTTTTTGAATCTTGAGAACAAATTTCGAAACAGAGAACAAATTTCAGCGCGCAAACTAATCTTTAAAGCAAAGTCATTTTTTGAATCTTGAGAACAAATTTTAAAACAGAGAACAATTTTGAAAAATCCCTAACAAATTTGAAGCATGATATTTTTGAATACATGAACAAAAATTGAAATCCAGTACATTTCCTGAATTTGGAAAGTTTTGAACTTTTTGTGTAAGGAGAACAATTTTTGAATGTGGAGAACATTTTTCTAAAAACTGAACATTTTTTATAAACATGAACAAAACTTGAATATTTTGAAAACAATTGAAGAAAAGAGAAGAAAAATAAAAATAAATAAAAAATCAAAGAAAGAAAATTTGTTGAAAAGAGAAATCAACTTGAAATGGAAAACTGAAAGAAAACAAATAAGTAACAAAAAGAAAAGAAAGAAGAACAAGAAAAAAGAAGAAGAAAAAACAGAACGAGTAAAAAAGAAAAAGAAACGAAAAAAAAACCGGTTCAGGAATCTTCTAGATGGTTCCCAAACCAGCAAGAACCGGCTGGGAACGCTCTAGAACGATCCCAAAACCGGAAGCTGTATGTACGCTAAAGATGGGCCGGCCCAAATAGCTCGCTACTCGCATCCCCCCCTGTGCGATTCGTCGACACTTTGCCGCAACGTGCGGCAAATAGGAAATCGCGTCGCCGTAGACGTCTCGTCGACGGGAATGTCTCCCTTCAAAAGCGCCCACTGCCCCGGCCACGTGAACAAAAACCTAAGCCGGCCATATTTGTTCGCGTTTGCGATCCAAGCAGGCCACAAGTGCAGACAGTTCAGTTACCGGGCTGAATGAATCCAGCCTGGTCTACCCACGTAGCAGAAAGCCTAAAAAGCCCAGATCTTAGCACCGCCTCCCGAAAAGACGACCCCGCCCCACTCTCCCTCCATTCCTCGCAGTCGTCGCCTCCCACTCCAAACACCCAAATCCCCCACTTCCTCACCGCGAACCGGGCGCCATGGAGCTGGAGCTCGAAGCAGGCGGCGGCGGCGGAAGAGTGGTTTCCCTCTCCAGCGAGTCCCCGTCGGCCGAGCTCGGCCGCGGCGACCTGGTTCTCGCAGACCGCAACATATCGCGCCGCCACGTCTCCCTCCGCCTCGTCGGCGGCGGGGAGCCTGGGGTCGCCTTCGAGGTCGTAGGGAGGAACCCCGTGCTCGTCCGCTCGCCAGTCGGAGGAGACAAGGTGTACCGCCGCGGCGAGGCGGGCGAGCTCCGGGCCGGGGACGGGCTGTCTCTGTCGCTGAAGGCGCCGTCATTCTGGACGGTGCGGAGGACGGCCGGGGAGGAGGAGGCGGTTGAGGGTGCGGAGGTGGAGGTGGACACCGCGGTGCTAGACGCGGTGGCGAGGCGGGAGAAGCGGACGCGGGAGAGGAAGGAGAGGGAAAGGGAGAGGCGAGCGTCGGAGGAGGCCATGGAGGTGACGAAGGAGGATGTTATGGCGGCGTCCGGTGATGACGATTTGGATGAGGAAGTAGAGGATCTGAAAATTGATCTTGATAGCATCGACCCGGTTCAAGGTGAGCTTGTGTTGGGTTGTTCTTCCTTTCAGAGAGAGAATGCAATCTTCAGTGCCGGGAAATTTGTTGGGGGAAATGTTGCAGAGAGAAATTGTTTTGGCATTCGGGTCAGGTTACATTGGAGTAGCTTGCATTACTGCATTGCCTGTTTTCTAACCCTGCCTCTTATGGTTAGGATGTGTTGGTTATTGGTTGCTGATAGTACATTTTTAACGTCTGCTATTTTTTGTATGCATTATGTTCATTTGAAATGCCAGAAGCCAGGAAGAATAATTGCTATACATTAGGACTTGATTGGGTTCGCTGAAATTTATGGTTCGGCCGAGTCTGCTTCATACATGCTGTTGTTCTTTAAGTTAATGTGGCTGTGTGCTAAAAATTCATTCCTGATGTTGAAATAATTTAATCGTTCTTCTCTGAAATCTAAAGATATATAGGTAATTTCGTTGGTGCTTCCATACTAAGGAGTATAACTATGGCTGCAGAGTTTGGTTTTTTGTCGGTGGGTCATGAATTTGACAATTACCCTAAGGGCCGGATTCGCCCTCCGAAGGATTGGAACTGGTTCCTAGAGGAAATAAGGAAGGGCAGCGATGATGAAGATGACGACGATGTTAGTAACACGGGACGTAAATCAAGGGGTCGTAGTCGTGCGAACAAGAAGAAGAAAAAGATAGAGGGTGAAGATGATGATGAGTGGACTGATGAGAGCGAAGATGGAAAAGACACCCTGCTAACAGGCGCTAGTGTGAAGAGACCAAAAAAGTATGTAACAAGATCGAAAGACCCCAAAAAACCTCGCAAGGAGAACTCAAAAACAGAAAATGAGGATACGGCGGATGAACAGGATGAGACAGATGAAGATGATGAAGCAGATGAGACACTGGGAGGTTTTATAGTCGGAGAAGAGGATGAGGATGAGCCTATGGAAGAGCTGAGTGAGGAAGAAGAGGAAGATGAATTCGATGATGAAGACGAGGACGACTGATAGCAACGTCGCTAAAGCTTTTGTGCTTTCATGTCAAGGTGTGCTGAATTCGATGATGAAGACGGTGATGACCGATAACACTGTCGATAAAGCTCTTGTACTATCATGTGAAGATGTAATGTTAGTGTTAGCAAGTAGCATCGTCACGTACTGAAACTGTGTACATATTGTGTGCTTTTCTGCTGCTGTCTGGAAACTGTTGTGGAAGTGCTTATTTGGCTGTTTTTATATCCAGTTACATTTGTTTGCTCAAGTTATGGATTTTCCCTAGTTCATCTCTCAGTACAGATGCGTTGATTTTCATCTATTATTTGCATTGGGGTTCGTGCTTGCTGATGCAGATAATATTTCTAAGCTTCTACAGAACGGCAGCCTGTGACGAAATCAAGACAATTTTCCATGTAAAGAAGTCAGTGAGCATGCTGAAGAAACAAAGCAACATGTTTACTGCCACTGGTGTCCATATTAGTTATCATGTTCGTGAGCGGAAACCATTTGTCACTGATCAATGAAATAGACTTCTTTTTGAGAGATCAACGAAGTAGACTTGAAATGGAGTAGTCCTGAAAACACCATTCTGAAACGTTCCTAGTTCCTACAAATCAAAACACACGTCATAATCACAGCTTTTTAATGTTAGGGTATCCATCCCAGATTTGTATCGAACGCTGAAGAAACAAACTAGAATGAAGTTTAAAAAAATTATATTTATATTCGGAGAGAAAATCGTCAGCCCAATACAAGTAATGAACATGGATGCATCGGCGGTACCTAAAAGCATCTGAACTTCCGGAGCATACTGACTGCCTGTCACCCCCTTCCACACCTTGCATCCCGACAGACTCCATCATCCGGATCCTGCACGAACACACGCAGAATCCGAATTAGCAAGGACAAGCACACATATAGTGACCATAATCAAACTGCAAAGCTACCATGCCCTGCTGCTACTACTAAATCTACTAGTAATACTGAAGTGATCATGATGAATTGTGCTGAGCTGGGCTGATGAGACGATCAAGATTCAACAACTGGGCGAGCAGGCAAAGGAGTCGATCTGCTGCATCAGGTCCTGCACCTCCTCCGCGCCGAACCCCCACGGCTCCATGTCCCCCGCGGCGGCCACGAGGTCCTCCACATCAACGTCTATCTCCGCCTGCCCCTCCTCGAGCAGCTCGTACCATATCATGTCCGTCGTGACGCCGCCCGCGCCCGCGCCCTGGGTCGGCGCGGCTGCTTCCTCGACGACCCCGGCCGCGAGTGCCAGCTCCTCGAAGGTGAACCCGTCCTCCGCCGGTGGCGGCGACGGGATGACGTCGAGCAGCCGCCGCTTCTTTTTGCCGTCGACAGCGGGGGCCGGAGCCGCCGCGGTGAGGCCGTTGCGGCGCGCCAGGTTGGCCAGGAATGCAGGGTTCCTGACGGCGCGCGCGAGGAAGGCCTTGCACTGCTCCTGCCGCCGCTCCGTGCCCTGCACGCGGCGCTCCATGTCGAGCAGTGTCGCGCGCGCCTCCTCCTGCTGCCGCTTGAGCCCGGCCAGCTCCCGCTTCAGCGCCTCCCGGTCCCGCCGCAGCTGCTCCAGCTCCCCCTCCACGGGGCCGAAGCCGCCGGCGCCCTCCGCGCACGACGACGGCGACAAGGCCGCAGCGGGACGGCGGGCGGTGTCGGCGCCGCGGCGGCGTCGAATGCCGGCCAGGAGGTGGCGCTGCCCGCCGAGGAAGCCCGTGTTGGCAAATTCCCACCTGTCCGGGTTCACCTTACGGAATCCCTGCAATGATCACACCACATTCATCAGCAAAGGAAAGAAAACAGCGATCGACAAAGAGGTCCATGGAACCACCGCAGGCGCACTTACGTAGGTGTTGAGCTGCCGGAGGAAGCTGGAGAAGTTGGCGTGCTTGAAGTGGCGCGGGAGGAGGCGGGCGGCGAAGGCGTGGGGGTCCCAGACCACGAAGCTGTTCCGCGCCGCGCCCCACGACACCACCGCGTCCGTTGCCGGGTCCTCCACCATGTCGAACGTCTTGGCCAGGAACGGCGCCACCGCCGCGGCCGCCGCCAGGTCCAGCGGCGTCGGCGCCCGGCAGCAGCCCGCGTCACCGTCGTTGTCGTCATCCAGCACCACCATCTCGGGCTCCTCCTGCTTGATGTCCATGGTCACTGCGGCGGCGGAGTCCATCTGGCTGGAGTGTAGCTGGTACACAAGTGTTCGTTTGGTTGCTCGTTCGTGAGTGATGTCGGATTTGGCGGGAGCGGAGTGTGGGGGTTGGAGTATTTATAGGAGTGGGATAGACATTCTGGAAAGTACTACAAGGAGGGGATGAGTGTGTGCCTAATGGCGGATATTTTCTTTGGAAGTTTCTCATGGCCGCTAGAGCTCACTCGTGAGTTGGCTTTATGTCGCGCGCGGCCCCCGGGCTTTGATAGTTGGTGAATGACGGGACTGCCCGGAAGAATCGGCCATGTTCCGAGCTTGGGCTGGGCTCGGCCCGAAGCCGAACATGCCTCCGGCCCAGATATATCGAATGATTTAACACGTGAGCTAAAAATCATGAATTTTAATAGTGAACCGTATGTGCTCAAATCCATTTTTAATTTGATCTTATTAAGTCACTAGCAATGTGCCTGTGCATTGCAACAGATCCAAAGTAAAATAGTATTTGTTCACAAACTTGAAAGAAAAGACTCTTGTTTTGAATACATATAGCACTAAAAATATATTATGTTTCACTCAAAATATATTTCTCAGGCTGTTTTGATGAGGTGAGAGAAGGATGTTGTTGCTTTCAAGATAATAAGGGGGTTTCTGTAAATTGGAGCAGAGATGTGGGCCATTGTTGCAAAAATGCCACAACTTACCTCACAACCGTTAGATGCAATCTAATGGTCAGAAATGACGGATGACAGACACACTATCATCACCAACCGAGTCTTTCATAGGAGTCGAGATTTCATCATGAAAATTTATAAACGCATTGAATACATCTATGTGTATATTTGAATTTATTTTCAGATGTTTTTGAAACTAGAAAAATATGATTTTTGTTTTTTTTCCTTCATAAAAATATGATTTTGGTTTTTTAATTACTAGTGGCGGGTGTGCATACAAATTTCCATCAAAATATGTTTACATATCTGGTGCACACAAAAAAGACAAACACATGGAGGCATTCTTTTTGTTATTTTTGGGTTACACATTTTTCCATTTATGTAGCCTACAAACATTGTGTTATTTAATACAAGTGTCCATGTCTTCCACGGTAACGTTTATTCTCTATAACCATCTTCTTTATCATGCGCAAGTCCCCACTGATTAGTCTTTGCCTCTTTAAACTTCTCTAGCCCTTCTTCGTGTTGTTTAGTGTGATCACCCTCGCGTTCACAGTCCATCACTAGCGTTGGAGCAACAATCTACTCCCGACATCCATATATAGGGCCTAATACATATTTCAAGATTTACTTTGACCATTGATAAGATCAATAATTTATAAGATGTATGCTATAAAAGTTATACAATTGTGAAAGTGCAACTAATCCCTGGGTGGTTTTGGTAATTCTTAACAACATATAGCTCATTGAACTAATTCTCTTTCAAGATGATCATTTCAGAAAGTTCAATGATTGGCATGGCATGGAGTAGAGATGTGAACCCCTCAAAATGCTAAGGGCACATATTGGCAACAAAGTCAAGACTCTACATTTTCTTTTTAGTGATCCAAAATCACACTGAGTCCATAGGGAAGCCAATACTATTAAAAGGGGATGAGGTGTTGCTTAATGGCTTACTAGTTCCAAATGCTTAGTGATATGCTTCAAAACCCTCAACCACTTTCTCATTTCCATATATGTCCTAAACCTAAAAGTCAAACTCAGCCCCACCGATTTGATCTATCCGGCGCCACTGAGTTCATTTGACATAGCCACTGCCACAAACTCTAGTCAATTGGTTTCACCGATAGGGATCTCGGTCTCACCGAGATGGGATTGCAAACTCCCTGTTTCCTTTTCGTAACGTTTCGGTCCCACCGAAATGAGAGAATCAGTCCCACCGAGTTCGCAATGCAAAATCCCTGTTTCCTTTTTGTAACATTTCGGTCTCACCGAGATGGGTGAGTCGGTCCCACCGAGTTTGCCTGACCAACTCTCTATGAGCCTATTACTGGAATCGGTCCCACCGAGTTTATCTGATTGGTCTCACCGAGATTAGTTATGCCCTAACCCTAGCGCATCGGTCCCACCGAGTTGACCGTATCGGTCCCACCGAAAAGCCTAACGTTCATATTTTGACCTGAATCGGTCTAACCAAGTTTTACCATTCGGTCTCACCGAGTTTGTGAATCTGTGTGTAATGGTTAGATTTTGTGAGGAGGCTATATATACCCCCTCCACCCATTCTTCATTCGTGAAGAGAGCTATCAGAATGTGCCTACACTTCCACCATTCATTTTCTGAGAGAGAACCACCTACTCATGTGTTGAGACCAAGACATTCCATTCCAAACACAAGAATCTTGATCTCTAGCCTTCCCCAAGTTGCTTTCCACTCAAATCATCTTTCCACCATCGCCAAATTTGTGAGAGAGAGTTCAGTGTTGGAGAGACTATCATTTGAAGCACAAGAGAAAGGAGTTCATTATCAACACACCGTCTATTACCTTTTGGAGAGTGGTGTCTCCTAGATTGGTTAGGTGTCACTTGGGAGCCTCCGTCAAGATTGTGGAGTTGAACCAATGTAACGCCCCGAGTCCGATGCGCCAGGCGTCTGCCAGTTATTCGCCGCCGTTGCCATGTCATTTGCTTGCGTGTTGCATTTTATCATGTCATCATGTGCATTTCATTTTGCATACGTGTTCATTTCATGCTTCCGAGCCTTTTCCCCGTTGTCCATTTTGCAATCCGGCACTCCTATGCCCTCCGGCGTTCCCCTTTTCGTCTCTCGTTGTGAGCGGGTGTTGAACTTTCTCGGAATGGACCGAGGCTTGTCAAGTGGCCTTGGTATAGCGCCGA